GGGGGGGGGGGGGGGGGGGGGAATGAAACAGTAAAAAAAACGACTATTTGACAAAATTCAAGCAAAGAGCGTTTTTTTATTAATTTTTTTTGTTAATTTTTTTTTCTTCCTGGGAATACTGATGAGAATTATAATTTTTCAGATTTTTCGCAAAAAAATGCAGAACACTTAACGACACAGCTGATGCTAAAAAATAATAGATGGACGACAACGCTTAGACTCCCCTAAATACTTCGTGAAAATTTCAGCCATTTATATTGGACACAATCGGAGAAAAATGGGTTGAAAAAATAAACTTTTGCGACGACTTCCGTTACCCCTTAAGTAAAAATTTATGTATAGAAATAATTCGTGAAATTTCTATACGATTTTTTCATACGTGTTGACATTCAGTGTTACGTAAGGATCGGAGCATCAACAAACATCGTCAGACTTCTCTGTCGCCTCTCCAGCGATTGCAAATAATTTACACTGAGAAAACAAAATTTCTAAGAAATAGAAATTCTATGATTGATCCAAATCGGTCATCGATTGAATAGTCGCAAAAGAAAATGCTATTGTAAGCCACAAATATTTAATTTAAATTTTAATGTTTTCGATTGAAAAAGAATGAGATCAGTTATCTAAACTTTTTTTTGTTACAGCGGGTTGAAATATCTCTCTTATTCACCCCGATACCCCATTATTTTTTGTCGCCATCACATTGAACACATCATTCCCCATATCTTCAAATTTTTTCAAATTTTTCTTGAGTTCCTAGGGGGTTGAAACGTTCAATTTAATCAAAACTCCATAAGAGGCCGTGTATAAGACTGATTTTGTTTATTTAATTTCTCGATATCCATAAGTTCTAAAATTTTAAAATTGTCACCGATGTTCACCATCTGTCTAATACTATTAATTAACAAAATTATAACTGTTGGTGAATGTCAATTTTCAAGGTCATCGCCAAATTCACTTGGAACCCTTAAAGGGCAGCACCAATTCCATTCAAAATTTGATCTTTCTTGCTGCTCAACTCCTTCCTTAATAAATTAATTCTCAGACAAAACAGATGCAACATGGGTAACATGTTTTTCTATTCTTGTTCATTTGTTCGATTTAGTTTGACTTATCGTCATGCGATGGCGAGGCGCATGCGCCCTGCGACATTCTTCGGTGATTTTGGGAAGTATTTACTGACATTGCGGTGGTTTTGTGCTCCGAGGGCCGTCAAAGAGAAAAAGACAGAAAACCTCATGTCAAGTGTCAAAATTGAAGTCAAGGGGAGATGATTCTGGGGTTGAGGCAGGATATCAGTCCCAGAAGTGTTGAGAAAACGTTCTGATTTCCGAGGAGGGCTGGAGGTGACTCGGGAAAACTGGGCAGTCATGGATTTTGGGGTGAGAATTTCATTGGTTTGTTTTTCTGGGCAATCGGGGGAGCTCAGGGGTCAGTTGGATGTAAATAAAGAACAGATGATCTGCCAAATCATCTGCGAATCATCAAAACTTGGGGTTTTGACAATTTGGGGTCATTCATTTTCCACTTTTTCTTGTCGGTAGACGTTTGCTTCGTGAGGATCCTTCATTATGGCAACGACGGTTCAAGGTATCACGTGTGGCAACTTTGTGTTTTATAACAATTTTGACTCTGCCAATTTGGCGAGGGTCGAGCCGGTCACTGCGATCAATGCGTCCAGCCAAGGTAAGTGAGACAGTTTTTAGGTGTAATGGGATTTTTTGAATAAGCGGTGATATCTCGGGAGGTAGTGGTGGGATTTCGATGAGTCGAGGCGCATTTTGAAGGCTGAAAAAATATCTTCGAAATGAAAGAACAATTGGGGATTTTCACTCTGCGGATAGCGAGTTATTGAAGATCGAAAAGTCAATTTTTTCAAGGACTAGAAGTATTTGAGGGGAAAATTCAGCGTTTTTTTAAAATTTCCTCTTTGTTTATAAAAAAAAAGTGTAGGCATGAAATGTTATTGAGTTATTCTTTTTTAATAACATTCTTTTTTTATTTAACAGAAGGAATTCAGTAACGAAATGGTAAAAATTTTCAAGTCGATTTAGATCTTTTCTGAGTTTTCGAGGAATATCTGCGAATCTAAGGGAGATAATGAATTTTTTGTGATAACCTTTTTTGTAGAGCGAATTGAGGGCTACAAGAAAGGTAATGACAAAAATTTCGGCATCTCCCCTAGATTTCGAGATATTCATTGAAAACTGTGGCCAATAGTCAAAATTGACTGTTGAATAAAAAATGAATGTTATCTGCGAAACTAAGAGAGATATCAAACTTTATGTAATAACCTTTTTTGTAGCCCTCAATTGGCTCTACAAAAAAGGTCATGACAAAAATTTTGTTATCTCCCCTAGATTTCGAGATATCCAACATTAACTATCGAATAGAGAAAAAAGTTACGTTATAAAGAAGAAAATTGACAAAAAAAATTGAAAAAAGGGGTGTGACGCCCCCTTAAACTCCAAAAACATTCTTTTGACGATAAAATATGGTTCAGATGGTTGTGAGACTGAGAGGAAGCCCTGCAAGCCCTCTGAAACCCTCCCGGACTATGAGTTCAACGTGTGGACGAAGCACGACTGTCATGGGACTGAATTCCAGAACAACAACAGAACGTGGTTCTACTTTGGGATTAAATCCCCAGCCCAGGGGGTTTCTGTCAAGCTTAATGTCGTCAATCTCAACAGACAATCAAAGATGTTCAGCCAGGGGATGTGTCCAGTGTTCAAGGTTGTTCCTGGACATCCTCAGTGGGAGAGAATTCGAGATAAACCGACTTATACAGTAAGTAAAATTCATTTCTTTAATTATTTATTTCCTCATGCATTCATTCATTCATGGATTCATTAATTAATTTATTTATTTAATCATTCATTCATGTATTTATTTCTCTACTTATCAAACCTGAAATGAAAATTAATGATAAAATTAAACAAGTGGAAAATGGCTCTTATATTAATGTAGTATTGTTTTTTTGCAAATAAATTAGCAAAATGCTTCTATAGTATATAATTCATCGTTACATATTATTTGATTGAACTCAATGAAATTTCAAATATGAAATAATAATAAATTAATTATAATAATAAATTATTAATAATGATAATAATAGTATTCTAACCTTTTGTGTAGCGCCGATTGAGTGCTACAACAAATATAATTACGAAAAATTCGCTATCTCCCTTAAATTCGGAAATATTCCTCAAAAACTCAACTGGGAGATGAGTCGACTTAAACCGATTTACCACTTCGCTACTGAATTTTTCTCCCTTTCATTTGCCTTAAATCCACAACAGAAATCTATTACTCATAATCCCCTTCATTCCAGATGGACCAAAAGGGCAGTGAGTTCACAATATCCTTCACAATCCGCACCCCAGAGAATCCCAAAGCCATAATCTACGTGGCCTTCACCTACCCCTTCACCTACACCGACCTACAACAGTATTTAAACCGAATAGACTCGCGAATGCTGAAGCAAAATTACGGAAATACAGATGCTATTTACTACCACCGAGAGTGTGCAATAAAGTCCCTGGAGGGTCGTCGCCTGGACGTTCTCACGATAAGTTCGTACCACAACATAACGCCCGATAGGGAGGAGAAGCTCAGGGGAATGTTTCCAGTCGAGGGGGAGGAGAGAGCCAGGAAGTTCAGGGGAAAGAGAATAATCTTCGTCAGCGCGAGAGTTCACCCTGGCGAGACACCGTCCAGCTTCGTGTTCAACGGTTTTCTCAATTTTTTACTGAATCGTGACGACCCCATTGCCATGATCCTCCGGCGTATTTATGTCTTCAAATTGGTGCCAATGCTCAATCCCGATGGAGTGGCCAGGGGGCACTATAGAGTGGACACACGTGGGGTGAACCTCAACAGGGTTTACCTCAATCCCTCGGCCGTCGATCATCCCACGATTTTCGCTGCTAAAAGCCTCATCAGCTATTATCACCACTTCTACGAAGTCGTTGAGGCAGTTGATGAGGAGCAGACAATTGACAATCCTGGAGGGGAGGAGGGGGCTCAGCAGAAAGGGGACCTGAGTGTGACTCTGATGGCTCTGGATGACAAGGAGAAAATACTGGTGGGCGAGCCCGCCTGTGGGGGCTCTGGGCACGACGAGATTGTCAAGTCGAATTGCAAGGGAGGGGACAGCAAGGGGGACAGGGGCTCGGAGGACTCTGGACTGTTTCTCTACATCGATCTCCATGGACATGCCTCCAAAAAGGGCGTCTTCATGTATGGAAACTACTTCGATGACGCCGATGACACCATCATGTGCATGCTCCTCCCTAAACTGATGTCCATTAACAACCCCAATTTTCACTTCACCTCCTGCAATTTCGCTGAACGAAATATGTACCTCATGTGAGTATTCCCAGATTTTTTGTGTTCTTTGGTTGTGATTAGACTAAGTAAGAAGCAATTTATGATTTCTCTGAGATACAAAAATCTCTGAGGGAAAACAAAAATGTAACATAATTATTGTAAATGAATCTTATGAATTATTTACATTATTGTAATTTTGTTGTCGTTTGGTATTTTGTTTGTTTTTAATTTCATTGTTTATTATTTTATTATTATTGTTTTCATACATGTAATAGTCGCATAGCTGCCATGACATATCTTCATCATAATTGTCATTATCATGAACAAAATTGTGGAGGAATGAAGATTTCGAGGTTTTTCTTCTAGATATGCTTTGAATTAGATTAGATAAAAAGCAATTTATTATTTCTCTGAGATATAAAAATCCCCTAAGGGGAAAACAAAATATAATATATTTATTATAAATGAATCTTATGAATTGTTGACATTATTACTATTTTATTTTTGTTTTCGTTCAATATTTTATTTGTTTTCAATTTGAATTGTTTATTTTTTTTCAGTATCTTATTTATATTTGTTATTCGCAATATTAGTTTCTTTATTTTTTTTCATGTATATGACAGTCCCATAGCTGTCATCACATATCTTCATCATAATTATCATTATCATTACCAAATTGTGGAGGAATGATGAGTCTGGGGTTTTTCTTTCAGAGACAAGAGGGATGGAATGTCCAGGGAGGGCTCAGGGAGGGTTGCTGTTTATAAATTAACGGGACTAATTCGCAGTTACACGTTGGAGTGTAATTACAATTCTGGAAGACTGGTGAATACTATTCCAGCGAGGGTCAGAGATGGAAACGGAAAACCCCAGGGACATATGTTTGTTCCTCCTAAGTACACGCCGACAGTCTTCGAAGAGGTAATTTCATTGATTATTCTCTAATTCAGTAGCGAAGCGGTGAAACAATTCAAGTCGACTTGACTCTCAGTTGAGTTTTCGAGAAATATCTCCGCATCTAAGGGATATACCGAAATTTTTGTAATAACCTTTTTTGTAGCTCTCAACTTTCTCTACAAAAAAGATTGAGACATGAATTTTGCTATCTCCCTTAGGTTTCGAGATATTCACTGATAACTGACCAGTAATTCAGATCGACTAGTAGTGTATACATAACTTAAACTTTGAAGACAAAAATCTTAAATAAATTCTAAACGGAAGTTGATATGAATAAAAACATTTTGGTTGACCCCCTATGCAATTAGTAGTCTAGTGTTATTGATAATGATTAATTATTAAGAAGTGTCAAAATAACAGTCTTATGAGAAAATGAATATTCCGAGATTAGAGAGAAGATAAAAATTTATTAAAAAATCTAAAAAATAAATAAAAATTTATGTTCAATACGAAAATTATCGTCAGTGTCAAACTTTTGTGATAGATAATTTATGTTTCTGGGTATCCCGAAACATAACTTGACACAGGATGCCATAGTCAAACGAGCAACTATTGTTTGATAAAATAATTATCGAGAGAATTTAATGAATTAATTTTTTTCTCTCGTCAAAGTGACAATTCATGCCAGGAATTATGATTTGCAAATAATTTTTTTTCGGGCATTAATTTAATTGTTAATTTAATTAAATTAATTTTCCTCACTACAACTTTAAACCGTTTTACTCCTTCACTACTGAAATGTTATATTATTTAATTAGCTAATCAGTTGATTTATTATTTAATAATTTTATTTACTTATTAAAATAAATGAATAAATGAATAAATTATTTAATTGTTATTTTCAATTGCATTCTCGAAATTGTTGAATTTCCTTAAATACCTTAAAAAGACTTTCTTGAAATAGCTTATAATGTTTTCAGGTGGGTGCAGCCCTAGGTCCTTCCATCCTCGACCTGACAAACAGTAATCCAAACAGTCGTTTACCAAATAGCCAGTATCGTTCCCTAAGGGGTGTTAAGTCATACTTGAAACTTACATACGTCAACTCCCTAGCTGGTACGATTCACAGGCCCCGACTGAAGGTAAATGACAGCACTGAAAATCTCATTGACCTTGATAATATCGAAATAAGACAGTGTACTCTGTCTTGAATAAATTTTCCATCGCAATTTGTACGATAAAAATTTTTTATTTCACTTTTTTAACTCGACAATGAGTTTTATTTTTTGTAAGATAATATTTTAATTCTATTGGAATTGAACAGTCAATGCACTACGCTTATTTTTTATCATTAATTATTGTATTAGAGGGGGTGAATTTAGTGGTTTACGAGTGGGGGAGACAAATTCCTGTTGAATTTCCCAGATTTTATATTGCCACGAGGGCTTTTCAATTCCCTTCGTGATTGTGCGAGTGGATTTAAATTTCTAGATGAATATATTTTGGATTATGAGGTGATTAAGCATGAACAGGCAGCTATATCTGTAAATTTGTGTGATTAACCCCAAGTGTTCCATTATCATCATCTAAACATTAAGAAATAAATGAAAAATCATTCACGTTTGACTTCCCCAGAGCTATCTCAATTGTAATCAGATAACAAACATTTATGTACAATGTTCTGATGTACGTAATTTTATTGAACAAAAACTGGAGACAAATATATGAAATGTGTTAATAAAATTCAAAGTCTTTTAGCACACGGAGGAAAATTTCTTTGCTTGGATTTATTTTATTTTATTTTCGCTCCTGCTTTAGTAGTCCATATCCCACTGAGCACAATTGTACAGCTTTGATAATATCAATGCATTGAACATGTGGTAAGTTGACTAATGATTATTATTGAGTGTGTAAAAGGCTTTGAATGGGTTTAGATTCGGAGTAGTTGGTTTATGATGTAGTTGATGAATGTGGAAATAGGTATAGTGACATTTTTTCGTTTTTTTAATAACAATTACATTTGGTGCAGAGCTGGGCACTTTTTCGGTAGAATAATGTGGTGGTGCAATTTTTCGTAGTTATTTTAAAGAGATTTTAATGCCTTATTGCACTATTTCACTGCTTTAGTCATTATGAAAGGGAGAAAATTCGGTTGCGAAGCGGTAAAACGATTTAAGGATATTCAAGTATCTTTTACAGTTTAGTAAAGACCACACTATAAATTCGATCATTATCAATCATCATAATTTGTCAATTAAATTGCGTGAGAAAACTTTGAAAAAATTATGAATATTCAGCGTTATTCAAATTACGTTTTGCACGGGATTATAGTTTTTTTAAACATTCGTTGTTTATAAATTATTTATGAAAAATGCTCGCAGTTTGAAAAAAAATTGGAATTTTTAAATTATTTTATCAGTCTTACTCTAAAAATAAAGTTTCTAATTTTTTTTTTAGATTTTTAAAATGTTTTCAAACGGTTTAATATTGTTCAGAGCCAAAGTTTAAATAATAAAAACATTGAAAAATGTCCGGAAGCTTAGGGTCAAATGGAGCTTGAAAAGCGTTTTACTGGAGAAAAAATAGTGCTTGGATATCCTTAGTTGAGTTTTTGAGGAATATCTCCCAATCTAGGGGAGATACCGAAATTTTTGACAGAACATTTTTTGTTGGGCGAATTGAGAGCTACAAAAAAGGTTATAACGTAAATTTTGCGGTCTGGCTTAGATTTCGAGATATTCATTGAAAACTGACCAATAGTCAAAATCGACTTGAATTTCTCTGTTAAAAATTTTCAAATAGTATTTCACTTGTCATATTTGGGGACTAGAATAGAAATATTTGAATAATCGGTTTATCCAGCTCTGCAATTATCATAAAATCTGGAAATAAAATCAATAGCGAAGCGGTCAAACGGTTCTACAAAACGAATTTTCCTAACGACCTTTTTTGTAGAAGGAATTGACGACTACAAAAAAAAGTCTTAAAGTAGTATGTCCAAAAGGAAAAGTGAATTTAAAATCCCCGAAAAATTATTATTATTTTATGTTCATTTTTTCTAATTTTTTTCAAATTTTCAATTTTCTTATTTTTATTTTTATTCTGTTTTTTAATAATTTTTAAAGAAAAATTCGTTTTCTCATAAGACCCTGTGTTACTTTGCCACTTCTGAATTAATTACTATCAATAATAATAGACTACCAATTTAGCAAGAACTCAACCAGAAAGTTTTCATTGACATTAACTTCTGTTTAGAATTGATTTCAGATTTTCATCTTCAAAATTTAAGTTACGTATATACTCCTGTAAAGAAGTATATCCACACTCCACTTAAGTCGTCGAGTGCGGTGAGGAAAACTAAATTTAAAATGCCCGAAAAGAAATTATTCATCATTGATAATTTCTTACATGAATTCCAACTCTGACAAAAGTAAAAAATTAATCCATCACATTCACTCATCAGAATCATAAATTATTAATCACAAAAGTTTGCCACTGACGATAATTTTCATATTAGGCATAATTATTTTTATTAATTTTTTTCTAATTTTTTAAGATTTTTCCTACATTCTAATCTCCTCTCTAATCTCCAAAAATTCGTTTTTTCATAAGACCGTGTTATTTTGCCACTTCTGAATTAATTATTTTAGATATTCATCTTCAAACTTTAAGTTCTGTTTCCACAACTCCCCCAAAAATGTTGCTAGCTCCCCCAGATTCCGAGCAATTAATCGAAAACTGTCCAAAGATCAAAATCGACTGAAACCGTTTTACCGCTCCGCTCCCGAAATAAATAACAAAATCTCCCTAATTGTTAATAAAAAAAATCTTTATGCATAGCCGCTCTCATCGCACGACAATATCGGCCCGCTGAAGGACTCCCCGTGCCTGGACGACCTAGTGTCTACCATGAACAGTCCCTCGAACGACCCAAACACCAGTCAAAAGAGCGACCCAACATGCACCTCAAAGTCTCGCATAGTCAGACGTACAGCCTCACTCTACACAGCAGTTAAACGCATTAAAAGTGGAAAGAGGAGTTCCCGTCAGCTATCGACAAATCGTAAGTCACTGAAGAATCACCAACGTTTGAGTAATTCTGAAAATGGCCAGATGGTTTCTAAAATCAGATCGTCACGGCGCTCCATGAAGGGTCTCAAGCCAGTGCTCCATAAAATCGTGGGGAAAAAGGGATGTCAGGTTGTCGAGCAGACTGGCATCGTCAAGCAGGGCACCAAGAGGCTCAAGATCATCCAGAGGGTCATCAAGACACGCCCTGAGATCGGCGAGTCGTCAAAATCCTCGACTGACGAGGGCAAGAGAAAGCCCAAGGGAAATTCCATTGAGAGGATCAGGAAGAATGGAAAGAATGCGCAGAGAAACTCTTCCAAAAGCAATTCGAAGAAATAGACTAATTCCAGGCTTATCAATGCTTATTCTGAAATTTATTCGGACAAACTCAATGGAGTTTTCAGTATTGTTTCGAGGGGAGGAGAATCTCATTTTTTTCGGTCTTTCTATTAGTCCTTTTAGTTCGAAAATTAGTCGAGTGAACGATTTTATAAGTGAGTACTCTGTGATACCCATTTAGTGATTCATTGTTACGTTTCATAATCATTTTCACATAGTCTATTTGGAAAATTAAATTATTAGATTTAATTAATAAGAGAAGGGGGAAATTGAAATTTTCAATTTTGTAACGAAGCTAGACTAGTTCGAGGAAGTTTTGAGTATTAAAAAAGTCGAAAGTGTCTGATTAATTTCGTTTTTCTCACAGTCGATTGGGAGGGAGTGAGTGATTTAGTGAGTGTCTAGATTCTAGGGGTTTTCGATCAATTTCAATCACGTTTTTTAATAATATGAATTAAAGTACCAGCCAATGCACAGGAATTGATACTTTCCATTTACATCTGGCGTGAGGAGGGTTTTAAATCTTCTGTAATTTTGAAAAATTTTTTTTTCAGGGGGAATTATAAGAACCATTGTACTGATCTCTTCATTAAAACGAAAGGAAATGAACAAATGGTTTTTTTCTTGTGAATCTACCGCACGATAATGATCCCTCAATAATGATCAACATTAATTGAAAATTAATGAAAATTAATTGAAACTCTTCCCTCTAGAAAATAAGAAATTTAGGAAAAATTAATAATCGTTGGAGGAGTTTATTCAAGGTCATGTGCAACATAGTCATCCTCTAGAGCGACATGATTGTCATAATTGAAATCTAATCAGGCTCGTCTGGGAATGGCTAGATTCCCAGAAATAGCCATAAACTCGACTTATTGCACGGCGCGCCATAAATATTATTTTCTGTACTGCTTCTCACGATTTCTCGTCTGGGAATTGGTATTACATACTTCCCAAACTCGAAAACTTGAAAATCACTACAGAAAAATATTGTTCCTGGGCTGTTGCGATGGGGTTTTTTTACTCGTGTGGTTGGCCAGTCCTCGCACGCTGAGTTAAAAATCAGCGTATTATCGAGTATTATCTTTCGCTTCGCGCAGCTTGCTCAGAGCTCGACTTCTGCACGACTTGACATAAAATATTATAGAGCACTCGGTAATAAATTACGTTTTCAACGAATGTGTGGTTTACAGGCCGAGCCGAAGGCGAGGTCTGTACACACATTCGTTGAAAACGAAATTTGTGTCCTTGTACTCTAATGTACTATTAAGGATGTTCTACACCCTTTTTGCCAAAATTCAATTTTTTTTAATTTTTCTGGCAAACTTATGATGGAATTGACGTGAAAAAATATAACGTTTTTGCGTTTTGTCATTATTTAATGACTGACGAAATTTTAAGGTGGTGCGAACATTTTCCTGCGTTTTCTCTAAACTTTTAAAAAGAATCACAAAACTGTAGAAAAAACGCATGAAAATTATCGCACCACTACGCAACTTCGTGAGCCATTAAAGAATGACAAACCACAAAATCGTTATATTTTTTCACGTCACTCCCATCGATAATTTACCAGAAAAATGAAAACGACGTCAATTTTGGCTAAAAGGGTGTCGAACATCCTTAAGGATTTTGAATATTCGAGAGATTAAAGAATTTACGTCGATTATCACTTGTTGTCTCAACACGCACCTTTCTACTTGTCTGATATTTTAGAAATACCAGACAATGTCACAATGTATCGCCTGTAACCCCATCTCCCTTTGGAATTAGGGTATTGGGATTCCTTTCGAAAATAAACAATCTATCTATCTAATTATCGGAGTATCGATAAAAGATGTAAAAAGGAGTAAAAAAGGAAGAAGAAAAGGAAGAAAGGATAGATGTTAAGGATGTTCGACACCCTTTTAGCCAAAATTGATGTTGTTTTCATTTTTCTGGCAAATTATCGATGGGAGTGACGTGAAAAAATATAACGATTTTGTGGTTTCTCATTCTTTAAGGGATCATTCTGGTTTAGACACTTAAAAAAAAGGACAATTAAATAAATTTATTTAGGCTTTTATTTATAGAAATAGTAATAATTTATTAAATAAGTCCAGTAAATATGATCTTAAAAAACACAAAAAAAAAATTTTCAACTAATATTTAACTCTTTATATTTATGAAAATGGCCGCCAATGATAGATTGTTTATTTTCGAAAGGAATCCCAATACCCTAATTCCAAAGGGAGATGGGGTTACAGGCGATACATTGTGACATTGTCTGGTATTTCTAAAATATCAGACAAGTAGAAAGGTGCGTGTTGAGACAACAAGTGATAATCGACGTAAATTCTTTAATCTCTCGAATATTCAAAATCCTTAAGGATGTTCGACACCCTTTTAGCCAAAATTGACGTTGTTTTCATTTTTCTGGCAAATTATCGATGGGAGTGACGTGAAAAAATATAACGATTTTGTGGTTTCTCATTCTTTAATGGCTCACGAAGTTGCGTAGTGGTGCGATAATTTTCATGCGTTTTTTCTACAGTTTTGTGATTCTTTTTAAAAGTTTAGAGAAAACGCAGGAAAATGTTCGCACCACCTTAAAATGTCGTCAGTCATTAAATAATGACAAAACGCAAAAACGTTATATTTTTTCACGTCAATTCCATCATAAGTTTGCCAGAAAAATTAAAAAAACGTGAATTTTGGCAGAAAGGGTGTAGAACATCCTTAAGAGAGAATATTTCGGATGGAATGATAGATTGGGGACTCCCAGTGAACCCCAGTGTTACAGGTGGTATAGTCTGTTACGTTTTCCTGAGTTCTCCTCCCACCTTTCCTCTGGGGCGATGCCATGCCATGACGCATTGTGACTTCGTCAGTCATCGAGCGTCGACGCCACTTTCATTTATTAATAAACTCCTTGTGTTTACGCGCCGCCACGTTTCTCCGAAATTGTTTCCAAAAATTTTCGAATGTTTTTTTTTAACAGTGTGAGACAAAATGAACAGTTTTAGCGTGAGGGGGTGGTGTTTGTTGATCCTGTGTTTGTTTGCTGCATTCGTAACACCAGGTGAGCATTTTGGAACCTACTTGCAGTCATTAGGGTGCGGCCCACTTTCGATTAATGGAAAATACAATTTTTTTCTTGATGTTTTTTTGAGGGAAAACGTCGGGGTGAGGAACAGATAGAGGCGGTTTTATTTTGTTCATAATTTGTTTTTTTTTCATTTTTACAGGTGGGGAATTTCAGAAAAAAATTGCAATAGTGTTTGTTTATTTGTGTTT